AAACCCCCTTGGTGAACCAGATCCAGGGAAGGATGTAAGCTTCGAGTTAGATATATAAACATCCTAACAGTTCTGTGTGCTTGTATTTACAGTTCTCAGGAAATGAAACACTTGAGGCACAAAATGTACATAAACACTCAAGCATCATGTGACAAATTGTAGCTAATTTTAATCATGTAAACAACAAGGGTCCATCCAATATCACACTGAAGTAATTTCCCATTTAATTTCAGTCTTATTGAAACTCTAAAGGTAATTAGAATTTAAACCAGGACTCTCTAATCCTATTGATGAAGAAAATGCACCACATAATAAGACATGTAGCTCTATGGCACACTCCATCTTTTAACTTTTCTTCACTAAGAAAAAAACAACTAAGACAACATCTGTAATGCTACCTATGGAAAAGGGTTTTCAAACCCACCCAAAATGGCACATACTCAAAAATGACACATGCAAACACAATTCCTGAGTTTCAACATGCACCCATCCCAGAACAGGACTAAGAAACGTGACAGATGCCACTGCTGTCCCTAATACTGCACCCAGCCAAGGAGCATGGAAAGCTCGCTGAGGATGACTGAGGAAGCTGGGAGGCAGGGACAGAACTCATTCCCCAAAGAACTTCCAGCTGTGATATGTGAGCCTCACTATGCATCTCAAAACGAGTGTATTTTTGGGAATGACAAGAGCTCCGTGAAAATACAAAGTAGCTTCAATTTACACACCTTACAGAGACATGAGCTAAATCCTGACTTCCTTCAGTGTCTCAAAGACCCTTTAAAATACTGTTAACACCCACCAAAAAATGTCTATTCCTTCTGAGTCTGTTCAGACCTTCAAGTAAGATTATTTTTTTTTGCAATTACAGCCATCTGAAGACCATCACTACCTTCCTGATGAAAATTTACCCTAAATTTCATAAAAAACACAATATCTCTATAGATCCACAGGAACATCGGCTTAAGTCAACCAAGACAGTTTGTCATGCTACTTCTGGCACCAAGACCTATTCTGGGTCATCAGAGTCCTTGGGCAATGTGCACAGTTGCCAGTAGCATCTTCTGCAGGGAGCCAGAAGTGACACCATCTATACACCCTTCCCAGCCCATGTATTTCTCCTATTCTCCAACTGCATTGCCTGTGTCAGCTGCAAACAGATCTCCACAAAGAATCCAGGAGATACTCTCAGAAGGCCAGGAGGGAAAAGGTCAAAAAGGCCAAGAAACTTTTTGAGGTTAGAAAAGTAAACACTGCTGTCCTCTCTTCTCAGAGGACCCCACACTTCTCTGAGAAGCTGTGATGGAACTGAATCACAGAGCCCAAGAAACGCTTCTTGTAAGTACAACTATTAACATCCCTATTCCTGAATATTTAATCTTGCAATTTCTAATTAGTTAAACGGTTAAAAAAAAGGTGACCAAACCCTTACAAGCACTACTGAAATAGGAAGCAGGTGCACAAATTTTTTTGTGCGCCTGCAAAAAATGGATACAGATTTATGTTTTGAACCATGTGCTGCAACAAACAACTAAAACCCAAAAAGACAAATACTTTTGGACTTGTTGTGAAGCACCATAACACAAAAATCAGACTTAAGTGACAGCAGGCAGCTACTTACCAGTTAGATTTACCTCCGACTGTGAAGTATAGGACTATCTAACAGCTAAATCTCCTCTCAGATTCTGACATGTCTCATCTACAGTGTCATATTTCTGATACATGCCAGGTTTTACATGTTGACACTTCACAAATACATTTTTTCCTGACAGCTCCCTTACTAGCCAACTCCAATGACAGATGACTGAAGCCACTGAGTAAATGGTGTAGCTTCCCTATATTCATGGTACAGAGAGTAAATCTGGTGTAACAACATGTGAAATATTGCTCTTGCAAGGTCTGACTCAACCAACTTTACAGCTTCAAAGTAGCAGAGTCAAGCTCCTTCTGGGTACTCCAAAGAGCAGGTAACTCAACACAATGTGCCTCCAGTAGACGTGTGCCCCATGGGAGAGCTGGGCTCAGTAGCTCTCCTCTTTGCTCCCCAGCAACAAAGTGGCAGGACTCCACCATCACTTCCAAAGTGAACAGCACCACATTCTCTGTGGGAATCACCCACACTCAGAAAACAACATGAAAGAAACAGAAGAAAACAATCAGGGCCCTCACAAAATCTGCTGCTGTGAAAAGAACTTGCTCTAGAGCCCGTATGTACTCCTCATGCACACAGCCAATGAGCTGAGATGCTTTATTCAGGTTACCAAGCGAAATTCTCTTGACAAGGAAAGCAATAAGGCAAGACCATAGGGGTAGGTCATATGTGTACCTTCAACGAACATGGAGATTAAAGAAAAGGTAGGAAAAACACCCAAGCAATCAGGTAAGGAAATGAGAAAAACACCTGTATATGTATCCTCATTAAAAGAAGCTACATGTAAAACCAAGAAATCCAGCAACTACATAAGTAATCACATTACAAAACAACAAAACACTAATGTTCCTTCTTCAGTGAGTTACTTCAAAACTCTTTCAGTATTATTTTGCATTGCTCAGGACCAACTTCATAGAAAATGTAGAAATAAAAATACAGACTCAATTCTATAAGCACAGGTTCACATTTAGCTTTATTTCCTTCATACCATGAGCAGAGTCAGTCTTCACTGTACCAACCAAAGATAATTAACAACACTATTATACATGAATCTAGACAGATATTGCTGCCTTAAGTCTAAATGGCTTGAAAGAAGACTGGCTGTACAGCCACCATGGACTCATTTGGAAAATGTATTTTCAGCTCAGTAAATTTTATTCCCACAATGCCTCTTCAGATTTAGGAACTGCAATTACAATTTTGAGACACAGTCCTTCTCAAACACAACTTTCCTCCCCAGCTTTCACTTTCCCCTCTTCCCTTCCCTTCCCACAATCAAGCTATTAACTCTTAAATAAATGGAATAAGCACTTAACATCAGGAGCCACAAGGGTCTGTTGGCTCCTATCTCCTGTTTAAAGGTCTGTTTAAACGGGAATTAAAATAAACCGCTTCTGTGGATTTAGGCCCAAAAGCTCAAATCGGCAAACAGAGGTACTTGACCTCTCTGGAGCAGTCCCAGGAGCAACCACAGACAAACCACGCAGGCCCTGGAGAAGTTCTCCAGAGACAAACACCATTTTCAGAAGTTTGCTACCTGAACACAAATTAGGGAACTGTCCCCTGTGCTTGCCTTCCCAAACTCCGAAGTGCAACTTCTGGTTTGCGTTCCCTGTCTTTGCGTCTTCCTAGCACAGTGAAAAGCAAACCACAGACTTCGTGTCCAGCCTGCTTTTAAAAACGAAGTACTTCTTTAAGATGCAATGGCTGCCCTGAGCAGTGACATTACTTGACCCGAACATCTACGTGTGTTTGTTTCAAAGCTGGTCACCATAAATCACGACCATCTCCAGGTCAAGCAGCCGCACGCACGGCAATGCCAGGCTGGCACACATCCCCAGACCCACACCTCAGCTGCGACGACAGATGCCCTAATTCCGCTTAGCTTTAGGAACAGCTTAAGTATCTTCCTTGTGAATGGACTTTGATGTGCCTTCGTTTGGACAGCGTGCTGGAAGCAGCACTCATGATGCCTTTTGAATATTAATTATCCCTTTTTAAGGCCGAGGCCACCGGCCCCGAGTGTCCCCGCTCTGGTGGCGCCCCCTCCCCCGGCCCCAGGACCGAAGTGTCGGGGGGATACGGACACGGCGTCCCCGCCTGGCCCGGGGGAAGCCGTAGGAGCGGGGCGGGGAGTCCCGACCCCCCGGCCCCGCCGCCCCCGGTCCCGCTCACCCTTCTTGTCCATGAGCCACATGAAGAAGAAGCAGGGCGCGAAGCCGATGGGCCCCCAGAAGACGAGTAGGGCGATGTCCCAGCCGCTGAAGCCGAAGGCCAGGCGGGCCGAGTTCTGGATGGGGCCCCAGGTGTTCCACACCAGGCCCTGCGCGAAGCCCAGCAGCGAGAACAGCAGCAGCACCAGCCACCGCCGCCCGTACACGCGGCCCGACAGCGGCGGCAGCCGCCCCGCCGG